CACTGTAAATTTCATGAGGGCAGAGTCTTGTCTGATCTTGAATTCCACTAAAGATTATTTTAGGGGCCTCCTTGGTGGTACAAGGGGTTAAGTCTCAGCACTATGAAGCTAGTCACAGACACTGCAGCATGTGTTCAACTCCTGGCCAGTGAACTGACCCACATGGCACAGCAGACCTCTCCTGTCTCACTTGCTGCTTCCCTAGGCAGAGTATTTCAGTAGATCTACCAATTCGGCTTCCCACTCTGTCTCTGGCGAATGCTCTCACCCACTGTATCTTTGGCCTGCACCCCAACTTTTGCATGCATAAATAATCTTTTACTAAAAAGATTATTTTAAAGGAGCTATTCTTTTCCTTTAAGCAGGTTTAGTTTGGATTTCCCCTTTTCAAAGTTTATTAAATTTTAATCAAATACACAACTGACTTGAAAACATGAATCTGAACTGTGTGCATCTACTTATGTGAATTTTCTAGTAAACAGATGATGGATTGGATATATTGATACAGTATAGTACTATAAATGTGTTTCCTCTTGCTTACTTTAAGACTATAGTATATAATAGTATACACAGATAAATGACTGAGCATGTTATGTTATTAGTATGACTCCTGGTCATACTAACCTGGCAATTAGTTGGGGTATCAGGTTTTATGGAGATGTGGGTATAGGAGTGGATAAGCAACCCTAACCCCCCAAGTTGTTTAAGGGTCAACTACTTTGATATTTACCATGAAAACACAAGGAGGAAAAAAACACAGTAGTCTACCTGCCACTGGCCTAGATTATAGACTTCACACAAGTTTTCAACATTTGCAATTTACAAGTTTTCAAATGTCCAATAAAAGAGAAATAGAGTCATGTGCGAAGATAATTCTGACACCTGGCAGTTTTCAACTACTCTCCCTAGCAATTATTAAAGCCAATACTCGTTTGAAACCAAGAAAGTAAAACAAAATAAGCCAAGTTTATGGACCTTGCTCCAGGGTAGTTAGTGGTTTCATCATCAAATTGGTCCCGGTCAGGGTGATTATTCATCACATGTATTCTCAAAACCCTAAAGACACTCTCATAATTCAAAATTCAGAAAATAACCTTTTTTTAAAAAAAATAAAGACTTATTTATGCATACAGAACTGGGGTGCAGGCCAGAGGTGCAGGGGTGGTGTGAGACTTCACCAGAGACAGAGTGGGGAGCAGACAGGAAGACTGACAAAAGACACCACTAAGGGGTGCAGTGGGCGGGTCAGGAGAGGTCTGCCGTGCCATGTGGGTCACCTCCCAAGCTGAGGATTGAACTCTCACTGAAGTGGCTGCAGCTTGCTTGCAGTACTGTGCTTTAAACCCACTGCACCATCAGGGAGGGCCCAGAAAATAACCTTTTCTAAGGATTTACCTAGCTTCTCATTTTGGGATCTTTTCTACCCTAGTTCGGATTTCTCGAATACTGGAGTTTATTCTACTGTTTGTTGTATAGCTGTTTTGACTAGATTTTCAGCTAGGTCTAGAAGGCTGTATATTATTTAAATAGAATGAGATGATATACTTTCTAAAAATAGAGACTTAAAGGATACTGAAGCCTTCTTTCTGTATGAAAATAGCTTCACAAAGACAGCTAGAGGAGAAAGATAAAACATTTGTGAACAGTACACTTGTGCTGAAACTTTAAATATGAGCCTCAAGTGTCATGTTACAATTCAGAAAAGAACCAGCTGTAAGGTGTAGGCCAGTGCTATTCCAAATGTATGTCTGTTACACTGGAGGCTCAGGAAGCTTTGGAATGATACATACTCCAACTTAAGAGAGCCCTGGGTTGGTCAGAATTTCAAAATAGAGGTAGTGTGTGTGTGGGGTGGGGTGGAGTGGGGTGGCGGGGTGGCACATTAACTTATTATCAAGACCTTAAAACAACAATCAAAACAAACAAAAAACAACCCACTAGCTGGTCCTAATAGGTAATGGAGGAAGAGGTGATGCTACAAATCTATATTTAAAAACATCTCCTCAGTTGATTACCATGCTCAGATCTGGAAACCATTATAGGTATAGAGCCAATAACACCCCTTCTGGGATTCGGTGACAATTCTACCGCTTAAAACTGAAAGACCTTTGACAATTCACACATCTTGCTCAACACCAGTTCCTTCCTTGCTAAGTAGATAATAAAATCAATATTGCAGGACTGATGACATAAATGGGAATTATATAAAAAGCACCAAGCACAGTTGCTGAGCAGCGTTCAATACATGGTATTTCTTATTAAAGGCTCTAAAAATCGACAGTAGGTTGTGTGCTTACAAACACAAGGACACAACTACTGCAGTGACTATATTGCTTTTATCCCCTAGAAATTAACTACTTACTCTCCATCTCTGTGAACTCCTAGATCAAGGATTTACAGACTCTCTCCTCCCAATCATCTTTTCAGTAACAACAAAACCAAGTTAACTGCTCCTAACAAAGAGCCAGTACAGGGGACAAAAACGTAAATGGATTCTTTTAAACGAAAATGGAAACACTGTTACTAATGGGTAGTTAACTTTAAAATCGTATTGCTATCACCCCAAGCACAGTGCAAGCGTTTTTCTTTTTCTCTTTAAGAAAGTGAAAGGGAAAAAGGATTCTCGCAGTGTTATAAAGCGAGTTTAATTTTCCAGACCAGAGTTCTAAATTTTAATTTACTACCCGTATGAAAGTCAAGAAGTTTCAATCCCCTGAAATCCATCACCTTCCCACAAATCTGGCAGCCAGATGTCTCGCCAGGGCTGTTTTAAAATACAACTAATTTTTAAAAACAAAAAAACGAACGTAAGGTACAATGTTACCGAGAGGTAGACAGATGCTGCCCTCGACCCTCTTTTTTTTTCCTTTTCAATTTTGTAACCTGGTTTGACTACTTCTTAAAATTAGTTGCAGGAGGATGAAGGATAAGCCTCAATGCCCAGCCTCCAGCCGGCCAGGGAAGACAAAGCCCACCAGTTAAGGGCCGGGGGAGACGTGGTGGGACCCCTCACCTCCCAATTGTGACCCGGGGTGGGGGGCGCGGGGTCGGGGCGGCGGCGGGGGGGGGGGGGTAGCCACCAGCGGCGAGGCCCGACCAGCCCCCTCCTACCCTCAGAAACCGGTTTAAGGAGCTGGAAGCCGCCGACCCCAGCCCCTGCCGTTCGGAGTTGCCTCCTAGTCTTTTGGGTCTGGGGGACATGGCGCAGGGCAAGGTTTCTCGGCCGGGGGGCTCGGCAGCGCCGGCCCCAGCCCCTGGGACGCAACTCAGCACCCAGAGCGTGGCGTCCCCTCGCCCCGGACCTCGCGGCGCCCGTGCCGGCGAAGCGTCCGCGAAGGGCGCCGCCCGCGCCACCAGGGAAGATGGCGCCCGCGGAGCAACTGCGCCACTAGCCCTGGCGACGGGCCAGGCCCAGCGCCATCTTTGCGCCTTCCAGCCAACACCCCCACTCCCCATCCCGCTTTCGGGGCGACTCGAGGGGCCCGAGCGGCGTCGGGCCCGCGCACTCTCAGCCCAAATTGTGCCACGAGAGCCTCTCTCCTCTTCGGACCGGCCGCACGGGCGCCGCCAGGGGCTCCC